GACTGAGCACTGTCTTAATGACCAAGACCAAACCTATCGTCATTTTCTATCATTTCCTGTTTTGTGGTCAGAGGAACCCAAATTTGAAATTCTTTCTGGAAAACATGGACACCACTTCCTCCAGAATAAAAAGAAGCGGCACGATCCGGCTTGTTATCAGAGCCCGCAGCTCTGATGCTATGGAGGATGCATTTGTGTCTAAGAAAGAGGCAATTTGTCCATGTGGAAAGGCACCATTAATATTAAAAGTTAGACAAGTTTTAGAGCAACGTATGCTCCCATCCAGACAACCTTTATCTAAGGAAAGGTTCTGCACATCTCAGTGAGACAATGATAAAACTACATGCTCCATCTTTTCCTTCAGCATGGGTTTGTGGTAGAAGAGTCCATGCACTGAACTGGCCTACCTGCAGTCCACAGCTTTGGACATTTGGAGTATCATAAAACAAAAATTACAAAAAAGAATACCCGCGACTGCTGAGAACCCAGAATCCCCTATCAGACGTTCTGCAGACCTGCAGATTGTCGCATTGTTGGTTTTTCACACATCGACCTGGCTTTTTCAGAATTGAGGTTTGTATTGTGCTGTTCTGTTTCTTTGTTAGCTTTTCTTTATACTTGATCTATTATTAATTTTGTAATTTTGCCTGTGACGAAGGTCAATTTGGAGACCTGATGGGGTGAAGCGTGGGGACGTGTCACAGTCAGAATGCATAAAACGGAAGATTTGTGCCCGTGTGTGTGTGTTCCGACCTTGTCTTTGTTTGGCTCAGGTAACTTTTGGTTATTGCCCACTGCAGTGAGATTTTACCAGCCTGTCTCCTTTTACAGACTCCATTAATGAAGTGGCTCTGTTTAATCACAGTTTCTATAGTTGCTCTCTTTCTCTGAACAAACAGTCACAGCTGTGGCCCTCAGTATTATTGCAGGGTGGATTCAGTGATCAACAATAGGCCAAGGGGGAAAAGGAGGGCTGTGTGTGTGTGTTAGAGACAGACACAAAGAGAGAGTTTTCTGGGGATATGCCCACCACATGGTGTCTCCAGATGTGTGTGTGTGCGTGTGTGTTTGTCTTCATAATCTAATGCAGTCTGGGCCCTCGGGTGTTGGGGAAGCTGGGAGGTGAAGGATGGAGGGGTGCAGACACAGGTGTTGCAAATGAAAATGATGAAAAAGACACACGACTTTTTATTAGCACTTAGACTTGCTGTTCCCTTTTTTATGTTTATGCACATCACATATCCACGACAAGCATGTTCAAACTCAAAACTTTGTTCTTTAGAAGCAGCTAATTTCCATCCAAAAAGCTGCAAAATGTTCACTGCTAGATTTCACTGGTTTTTAGCCATTATGGAGGAAACACAGATGTCAGTAAGGACATCAAAATTTATATAACTCTAGAGATATAATAGCTGCAAGCACAGGACACGTCATGTAATTTTATGGTCTCATCCTAACAATTCCTGTGATCTATCCCATTCTTCTACTTCCACTAACGGGCAAAAATTCTTATAAATCTGGAGAAATATGTCAAATTCTTCAGTAGGTTGGCACAAATTTTGGTACAAATATCCATGGCAACCAGTGAGCTACAGACTTTTTGCCCAGTGACAACACTTCAGCATGCCATCCTTGCCAGGTAGCATGCTGGAAATATTTTTTTGCAGACCGAGCTCTGCTAAATTGTCGAGGGGACTGTCAAACATCACCTTTGATGCAAGCAATATGATAAAACATCTGACAAGGCATTGGAGGAGTTTACTAATGCGAGCAACAAGTAAAAGTGTGAGAATATGTCCAGAGACAACCCACGGCGTGTAAAAATAACATAAGCTCTTACCAAGTACACTGTTTTTTGAAAAGCAGCTATTGTCAGCTGTAGATAATACAGGGTTTTATTGTCTTCTCAGTACACTGGAGCACAAGTATGAGCATGCCAGCTGTCACCACATCACAGAAACCTTCTTTCCAAAGTTGCAAGGCTTTAGGAGAAAGCACACTGCAGCCTTTTCTAGGACATTTCGACCTTCGGCTTCACGGCTAATATTTGGACGGTGTCATCCAGTTTAAAGTTTAACTGAGAAATGGATGAATGAGGAATTCAGTCATCAGACATTCTGTGTGCACAGTATAAATATTCATGCAATAACTGGGCCACTGCAGGTGCTTTTGATGATATGCTTCAGTTGTGAGTCATTTGAAAAAGTTGTGTTCATATTCCGTTCATTTTGTATTCTAGCACAATGAAAAACAACTGTTTTTTTTTAGTCTAAATATTTGGTTTGATAAAGATTTGAAGCAAAATAAACAGCCTATAAATAGACCTGCACTATGCTGCATTCTTTCACTGAGCAAAGGAGGCTCCTATTTGCTTCCAAATATCTGCTTAAAAACCTGCGTGACAACATGCTATCTGTTCTTGCTCCATTTGAAGAGTAGGTGACACCGAGGCATTCCCAAGCCACCCATGTGATATAATCTCTCTACCATGTCCAGGGCCTCCTCCAGGTTGGGCATGCTTTAAACGCCTCACACAGTAGGCATCCAAAAGGCATCTTAATCAGATGCCCGAATCACCTCAAATGGTTCATTTTGATGCGGCTCTACTCTGAGTCCCTTCTGACTGATCAGTGAGAGGGGACTCATCCCATCTCCATAGCTTGCATCCGCAATCGCTTTGTTCCAGTCACTACCCGGAGCTCGTGACCACAGATAAGGCTAGTGATGTAGATCAACCAACAAATCGACAGCCATGCTTTTCTTCTGTCAGTGTCTTCTTCCACTCTCTTCCTACTCTTGAACAAGACCCTGTGGTACTTAAACTCCTCCACTTTGGTGCTCCACCCTATTCCATCTGAGACCCACAGCCTCAAACCTGGAGGTGTGAACCACTCGAAGTTGAGCTGGTGAAGCCAACAGAACTACATCATCCTCAAAAAGCAAAGATTAAATCCCGAAGCCACCAAAGCAGAGACTCCCGGCTGCGTAGAAATCTGTCTGAATCATCTCCAGCAATATGGATCAAGGTCTCCCTGCAGTTCTACAGCAATCAAATGGTGCATAGCATACTACACGAATTTATGCAGAACATCTGATGGTACAACACTCTCCAGTGTGCTATATGCCAAAGGTATGTTACCCTTACTATTGCAGGTTAACAAAATTCAGGCATGATTCATGCTCAGACTTGTATTTCACTAAACAAACTAACTGCACAAGTTCAAAGGCATCTCTCACACCTGACCTCAGAACAGTTTAAATTAGTCCTGAATGCCTTAAACCGCTGTGCTGAGCAAAGATTGAACACATACCATAAATACTCTTGTACACACACACACACACACACACACACACACACACACACACACACACACA